CCCCCCCGCCGGTGCCGGTGCCGGTGCGGTGCCGCCCGCCGCGCTGAGGGAAGCGGCTCCGGCCCGGGCCTCCCCACAGCCGCGCGCTGCGCATGCGCCCGGCCGCGCCGCCGACCAATCAGCGCCGGGGAAGCGCGGGGGCTGCCGGGAAACACCGGGGAGAAGCGGGAGGCCGCTACGGACTACAGCTCCCGGCGTGCCCTGCGCGGGGGGCGCAAAGCGGGGAAAAACTACAACTCCCGGCGTACCCCGCGCCGCCCCCCTCAGCTGGGCCTGCCCCGCCGCCATCCCTGAGGGAAGGGGGAGCCTCCCCGCGCCCCAAGAGGGGATGTCGGCCCAGCCGCCCCCTTTACCTGCCCCGGGGACAGGAAGGGGCCGTACTCCGCTGAGAGCCCTCTGCAAGTGCTGCCTCCAGCTCTGGGGGCCTGGTGGAGCGTGGCCAGAGGAGGCCATGGAGATGCTGGGAGGTCTGGAGCCCCTCTGCTGGAGGACAGGCTGAGAGAGTTGGGGGGTTCATCCTGGAGAAGAGAAGGCTCCGGGGAGACCTTAGAGCCCCTTCCAGTCCCTAAAGGGGCTCCAGGAGAGATGGGGAGGGACTCTTGATCAGGGAGGGGGACCGTAGGACGAGGGGTAACAGTTTTAAACTGAAAGAGGGGAGATTTAGATGAGATCTCAGGAAAAAAAATTCTTTGCTGTGAGGGTGGTGAGAGCCTGGCCCAGGTTGCCCAGAGAAGCTGTGGCTGCCCCATCCCTGGAGGGGTTCAAGGCCAGGTTGAGAGGGGGCTTGGAAGAACCTGGTCTGGTGGGAGGTGTCCCTGCCCAGGGCAGGGGGTGGTACTGGATGGTCTTTAAGGTCCCTTTCAATCCAAACCATTCTGTAATTCTATCATGCAGGGATCCAGCCATACCGCACAGATCCACCCAGACATGCTGCACAGATGTCATTTATTTGTTTGACAAGAAAGAACTCATGGAGTCAGAGCCACACCAGGCCTTGCTTTCTCACCCTTGTCCACCCCGGGTTCCCCACACCCAGCCCAGCAGTGGGTTTCTTTCTCCACAGCCCAGCAAGTTCCACCCAAGCCAATCTTGGCTCCGTGAACTCTGCTCCCCGCTCCGAGTTCAGACAGCTCTATGGTCGCTTATACAGTACGTGAGTAAACAGAGGAAAAGAAGCAGGACAACCAGTGAGTGAGTTGGGGCCATCGTTTCCAGGTGTGCCTGCCTCACAGTGCTTTATTTACATAAATTACAGAAATTTCATATATATTTTTTCTCTGAAGCCCAATTAGACAAATATCTAGCTATATATAATATAAAAAATACAGAGATTTGATTTTTTTTTTTTTGGAAGTAAAATGTACATGGATCCAACTGTGAGCAGGAGGTAAACCTGAAAACTCAGGCCTGTTGCTACTGAAGTTAACACCGCACACAACACCGCTGCCAGGCGGAGCTACGGCCTCTTCCTCCACCCCAAACACTGACCCACCCCAAGCCAAGGCAGAAAACAAACAACCCTCAGGAGTCAAAACACGTTCTCATCGAAAAAAAAATATATATATTTCAAGTAAAGATGAAGATGGGTTTTCACCATTTTTTTTTCCCAACAGTTCCATGCCTTCAGTCAGTAGCGATGCAAACGAAGCCTGTGCAAGGGCAGCTCTGCTTCCTCTTCCAAACACCACCCAAGCAGCCCGCCCTCTTCAGAGTTACCATCTTTGGGGTCTTGTTGCTTTTTTTTTGTTTGGTTTTTTTTTTTCTCTCTCTTTGTAAATACCACTAGCAGTTCTTCAAAGAACAACAACAACAAAAAATTCTAGGCAAAGGGAAGAAGCCTTTCCCCCCCCCAGAAAAATCTTCCCAGGAGCAGGAGAACTTCCCGTTTCTCTGTCCATTTACAGTATATTTCAGGGGAACGTGGCCCAGGTTCAACAGGACTGTCCGCTGAAGGAGGGTCGCAGAAAGGCCAGGGCTAAACTTTGCTCTTGGCAAATTAGAGTCTTTAATAAAGAGTAACATGTGCAAAAAAAAAAAAATAAAATTAAATAGATCAACCCAGGTTTCCAGAATTATTGTTGTCAGAACGCTTACTTTCTATTTGTGTTCTTACCCAACCCAATGCTGAAATCTCAATTAGGTACCCGAGGTAAGAAGTGACAGTTGGGAGAGATCACCACAAAGGAAAAAAAAAAAACACCCCAAAAAAAAAACCAAACCCAAGAGGTGCAATCTGTTACCTCAGTGTCCTTCCTCCACCCAGATGCCTGCTTTAAAGACATGTACGCAGCAGCAAAAAAGGAAATTAAAGTGTAAGGACCTCCCCCTTCTCTCCGCGAGGACAAAGCACTGTTTTCTAGTTGTTTGAAGGAAGAATCGTTTCCTAACAAGGCGGAGTGGGTGTTCAGCCTTCCGTTCGCGAGGAGGGGATGGGACCATCAAGCTGCTCCCAGTTGCTTTTCGGCAAGTTTGTGGTGGGTTGGTTGGTTGTTTTTTCTTTCCACACACACCCCCCCAGGCACATTATAGCTGGAAACCTTCCATGGGGGCTTCGGGTTGCTGGAAGATGAATTGCTGCTGGTTCTCATCTACCTGGGGAGCGAGAGCGGAGTCATCCTCTACTCCAAAATAGTGCTCGATCAGGTCAAAGGCTTTCTGGTAGATCTCTTGGTTCTCGTGGCTCTGTAGGAACTCTATTTTATCCAAACCTTGGAGGAAAAAAAAGCAGAATGTGATGAAATCCTCATATTTACACCGTTCCACATTCATCCTCCACCTTTTGCCCTTAATCACCACAAGACCTATGTCAGATTTGCATTTTGGAAGCAGCACTGACATCAAAAACTAACAATTCCAGAGCTGGTTGTGGATTTCATCTGTATCAGGCAGCATTAACGTCTTTTCAACAGCAGCTTTAGCTGACACAGCTAAATCAGATGTGCTCCCAGCTCCCTGCTGGGGGCCAAACCAGATTTCAGTGAAATTAAAACAGCTGGCTGTGAGGAGTTTGGTCCTTGCAGGGGGTAGGGAGGGGAAGGAAGCAGGGCCCGTCCCAGTAGCCTCCAGCAGAAGGGCAGCAGCAGCTTTAGCTGCCCTAATTAAATCCCCTGCTGAACAGAAAGCATCCAAGCACGCTATACTCTCAAGAATTTCAAGAATTACTCTTACAGGGAGAATCAGGACACACAGTGTAGCAGCGAGAGGGCAAATCAGACACTGGCAGCACACGGGGAGTTTCAGACCAAAATAGAAACTGCTCCTCAAAGCATTAAGAGCAGGACAAAAAAAAACCACCGCCAAATTAAGTCACTCCAGGGAAAAGCTAAGTTTCTCTGCATTTCCATGTACATCTACAGCGTACAACTGGGTACAGTTGGAGCAGTCTCAGACCCAGAAGTGTCACTTTTTACTTGGCTCAGCTTATTTCTGATTACTCCTCCCAACTGGTACAAGCTACAGTTACCAGCTTCGCCTCCAGACCTGGGAAGCTCAGATCAGAAACACGATGGTTTTTACTTCCAAAGATTTTACCCTATACCCGGTGATAAAGTCTGAAAAGACAGATTATTTGAATAAATATTGCCTAGTTTGGAATGTACTAAATCCCTTAACACAGCAGAAACGCAACCAAACCAGCAGACACCTTTCTATACATCCCCTGGAATTAGAGTCAACACCACCAAGGCCACCAGCCACCACCCACCATAGGCCTCCTCGATCAGGCTACAGTAGGGGTTGATGCCCGTCCCGCTCTGGTTGGCTTCCTGCTCCCCGAGCCTCAGGATGTTCTCCAGGCCGTTCAACGCCACCTGGACAATCTTGGAGTCCATGACGGTCAGCAGGTCACAGAGAGGCTTGATACAACCCAAGTTCACCAAGTACCTGAAGAGAGAGAGTGCACCAACAACATACACCCATGTGAGGGCTCTAGCAAGCATCACCTCTGCTCAGTCAGAAAAGAGCAAGGGAAATGAGTCAAAATAAAATACAAAAAGTTACCTTAAAATATATTTTTACTTTTCTGCAAGGTTAATTTTTATCCACTTATTTGTACACACACCCCCTCTTATAAGAAGCCTGTTAACTCCCCTTTGAAATCCAGGTGCTACTCAAATTAAGTCCACACTGGAATTTAACTTGTCATCAAGTTTGGACATTTAGCCTGGTCTGAGCTCTCTAAAGAGGAAGGGGGAAGTAGCATGGACCAGTTTCACAGAATCATAGAATATCTAGGTTAAGTACCTCCAGGGATGGTGCCTCAACCCCTTCCCTGGGCAGCCCATTCCAAGGCTCAATAACCCTTCCCGTGTCAAAATTTTTCCTAATTTCCAATCTGAACCTCCCCTGGCACAACTTGAGGCCATTTCCTCTTGTCACATCACCTGTTTCTTGGGAGAAGAGACCAACCCCCAATGGCTACACCCTCCTTTCAGGGAGTTGGAGAGTGCAAGAAGGTCTCCCCTCTGCCTCCTTTTCTCCAGGCTGAACACCCCCAGCTCCCTCAGCCGCTCCTCACAAGACTTATCCTCCAGACACGTCCCTCCCAGCAGCTCTCTTGCCCTTCTCTGGACCTGCTCCAGCACAGTTTGCCCTTATTCAGAGGGAAGCTACAATTCACAGCAGAGTAACAGGATCCAGCTATAGCTTTGTCTGTGCTTCAGGTGCCCTCTCGGACATTCTCCAAATCTCTCCCCTGCTACTCATCTTACAGTTCCCATCAAGACAAAGCCAACACACAGGCAGAGGTTTCCCCCCAGAGGGGCTGCAGGCAGTACCTGATCTGCTCGGGAGTTCCTCCTGACGTTGCATTCGTAATAGCCCACGCTGCCTCTTTCCTCGTGCGGAACTCTGCTTTCTGCAGGATTTCTATCAGTACCGGGAAAACGTTTGCATCTATGACTGCCTGGGGAGAGAGAGCAGTGAGAGGTGGTTCAATTGGCAACGCCGTTTCTAAAGGGCCATAAAGCACCTGAAGGAAACCTCTGCCTCCATTTTCCAATGCAAAAAGATCTTTCCAAGCTACACCCTTCAGAGATTCCTCCATTTTATTCCTCAGCCAAATCTTATTAGCACGAGAGATTCGATTCCATAACCAGCACAGCAGAAAATCCCTCTTATTGCATCAATTCTGTGGGAATCTGCCTTTGTATGTGGGTCACTAAAAGGATAATTAAAACTCAACAAGCTCCAGCTTTTCAAAGGGGTATCTCTAACTGAGCACGGCGAAGTAGGGGCTGTACATCCCCTTATTCCAATGATCCAACCTGTGGGACTCATTCCAGCCTCATCTTTGTTGGGACAATTAGCAAGCTCTTTTGAGCTCTCCTTCGGCAGATTGCTGGGAGCAGAAAATTTGCAAGTTGCTGTGGAATAAGAAGAGGCTGGTTTTGTTCACATCCAAGTGTCAGGTAAGAAAAATAGCTGCAAATCCTTAATGCTGAGCTTGGAACCCAGGACCATCACAGCCTGGAGAAGAGCATACCTGTATTTGTGCTCTGTTTCCTGCTGTGATGTTAGAGATGGTCCAACAGGCTTCTTTCCTGATCGACTCCTTGGGACTACTTAGTAAATGAAGGAGACAAGGCAAGGCTGAACAGTTCAGAATCACCTGTTGAGAAAGAAAGCGGAAGTGAGAGCAGAGTATCAGGTACAGAGCTAAATACTTTCATTTTTCCCCACAATTAACTGCTGTACAGGCACTTCCTTTCCCCTCACCTGGGTCTGGATGTCGTCCCCCGTCACAATGTTGCCGACCGCTCGCAAAGCTGGGGAGGCCACTTTGTAGTCATTGTGCCTGCAGGAAAACCAGTGCAAGGACAAACCCAAATCTATCAGATCACAGGCACCTGGATACTCAGAAGATTCTCTCCCCAGTATCTCATCTGCTTCTCATTCTATTTACTTAGAATTCCATCCCCTGGCATATAGAAACATACAATAATTTGACCAGTTTGCCACTGGACAAGCAAGAGACTAAAGACAAATTTGCAATGCAGGATGTTAAGGGTGAAAACGTGTCTAACTCCATCAACTTCAGCTTAATTACAGATCTCTTACATCACCCTCCTGAACAAGGATGTTGTTAACCCGATGAGAACACCCCGAATATTTCATGATAATCTTTGGAAGCAAGTATCTTGCACTTCTACCAATTCTGAAGATGTTAAGGAGAAGAGGCCCAATCGAATTGCAAACAGGAAACATTTTTGTCCAATATAGATACTAAAGAAACAACGCCAAGCTGATTTTTTCTAGACACTGTTCTTGCTATCTTTGATTTGCCAAGTAACTAGGCTCCCATAAGCATATGGTATTAGCTACTGTTCCAGCACTAGAAAATACTCAGCTTCTCTCAAAGAAAAGCCAGCAAACCGCAGCTCCCAGCCTCCTTCAGACCCTCCTCTGTAACCACTCTCAAGTCAGCTCAGGTGCCCACCACCTCACCCCACACCCACGAGGGGCGGAAGGAGGGCTCCGATGGGTTCTGATACGAACTCGTGCTCGGTCACACACCTCCCAGTCCCACTGGGCCCGAAGCAGCAAGACAAGATACTCACATTAACAGCTCCACCAGTCGCCGACACACTCCCGAGTCAATAACTGCTTGAATTTTCTCATTGGGGCCATCTGATAAGTAGGAAAGAGCCCAGCACGCGTCTGCCAGCAAGTCAGAGTCACTGTTGAATAATAATCGGGACAAGACGGGCAGGCAGGGAGATACCTACAACAACAGCCACCACCCCAGGTTAGTCACAGTCTCTCAGGGACCACCCTGGACCACCACGTTTGCATCCCAACACCGCGTGGCTGTGCTAACTGGTAAGGTAATCAGTCTTGAAGTGTCCCCAGTTTCCTTCCCCAAAGTCAGCAGCTTCCTTGTTGGTCCACATACCTCATAATCACAGCATCTAAAGTTACCTCAACAGCTTTATTGCTAAACTAAAATTACACCCCTTCCTCTTGGACCAGGTGTAGACTCCTGGGACAAGTGCTACCATTTGGAAGCTCCTCAGATGTCTCATGTAAGAGCACTGCTCCATTTCTTACTCTTAACAACCCTGAATAGCTCCGGATTCAGAGCAGCAACCATCAACAGTTAGACTTCTGGGTACTTCAATCGTTTATAAGTGGGTTTACATTCACACTCAGTTCCGATTTGACCCCTCAAAGCCTTCCCCAGCTTTGACATACAAGCTTTCAGTTAAAGAAGTGAAACACATTGATCTTAAAACATTTCTGTTCTACTGAGAAGGCTGAGACACCCAAAAGGCTGATAGAACCTTTTGTTAGTGCCAGTGGCACAGCAGGAAAGGGAAAGAGGAAAACTACCACAGCTCCCAAGTAGCTACAGGAGTCCTGTTTTGTAGCATTTAGAGGATTTTAGTCACAATTTGAGTTAAGTCTCCAACTTCCAGAGTTGATAACAGGGTTCAGAGGAGCCCACGGGGTGTGTGCTCCCTTGCAGGGAAGCCTGGGCTTGCCCCCATATTTGAGGGGTCCAGCAGATGGGCTGCCAATGGAGCCAGGCAGACAATTAAGAGGGCTCTCAAACACCTACTGAACAGTAAAATCAACCTCAGCAGGAAAAGCCTCACCCTGTTCCCTCACAGAATGACTTACAGAAGTCCAACAGCCAAAACCAATGCAGACAAACATCTTAACTGGGTGTCTCCCCATTAGCTGTCTGCCAACAAGACACTTATTCTCACCTTATCGAATTCGGGTGGTGGACTCTTTCCTCTGCACAAGTTTGACAAGGCCCAGACAGCATTTCGTGTCATTGTCAACCTGGTGGACTTTGTAAGGAGCCTGAAGAGACAATTACCATGAATTACAATCCTTGATGTGGAAGCCGGGAAGGGGATCAAAAGAAGGAAAACGAGTATGATTTCAAAGCAGCCAAACCACTATTCCACTTGCTGTAGCTCAAGCCATGCTGCTTGTCACTTGAGCCTCTCAATAATAAGAGAAGTGACATGCAACTAATTCTTAGGATAAATAGCTTTTATTCCTAACAACATCAAGTGACAGGGGTCAGGAAGGCACGTGCCGCATGAGACAAGTTGCGGAAGGAAGGGTAAGTTAAACAAATGCAGTTCCAAGTTGAAATTCAGCCTGGGCTGACGCTCACACCCCTCTCTGAGATCAAATGGTCCTCACTAGAGACCAAGGGACACAAACTGCCATGTCTCTGAGGACAGGGAGTCTGTGGGCTGAGGACTCAGCCAGCAATCACTGCTGACAAGCAGCATTAAAACAATTCAAGTCACTTGTCACAAAGCATCACTTTGCCAAGGACAGAATAAAATAAAGATTAATTCCTTCTAGAGCAGTGAACAGGCCTTGAGAGCACCCTCCTGACAGACAGATCCTCTGACCGTGGCGGCTCTGCCCCACACTCCAGAGCTGCAGAGGGATGGAGGGGTCAGAGATCTGCTCCCCTTCCTCCATCCTAGAGGAGCCCGCTCAGACAAGCCCCTGAAATCCACAGCACAAGCACAAAGAGCAGGCACCTGGAGGGACATGCAGTGAAACAGCAAGCCCTGGGCCTTCAGAGAGACAAGCAACAGCACCCAATTCAGCCTCAGAGCAGCGTCAAGGTTTGTGAGAAGGCATGTTATCTACCAAGTCCCACTCTATATCAGATACTTGTCGGAACTGCCAAGTTTATCTGGTACCAATGGTTTGATTCCCAGTGAACGTCACCGCACATCGCGAGGGAATCTGTTCACTCAGCTCAAATATTGCTCTGCTGCAGTACAATGGGACTTCAAGAACTGTATTGGCAAGTATTCATGGCTACTCACATTAATAAGGGAGGAAGAATAGCGCAGTTAAGGACATAATCTCTACACACAGAGCTGTCTCCAGCAATGTTCCCCAATGCCCAGACAGCCTGAAAGGAAACAGCAACAGTTTTAGCATTCACACAGTTTCTGAACAGAAGAAGAAAAGGGTAGTGTGCTAAGAAAGCATTTTCCCTGTAATTCCAGGCAAACAATACTTCAATTTGCAGTCTGAAGCCAGTTTTTAGACACTGATCACTCATTTTAAATATGGCATTTTAATCATCAGTCTACTGTGGTTTTCTCCCTAACCCCAAAGAAAGAAGTGAACCTTACCTGTTCTTGAACATCCTCAAAGTCAGAGTTTAACAGCTCTATAAATATAGGAACTGCCCCAGCCTCAATTACTATTTTTGTTTGTTGGGAAGTTCCTGATGCAATATTCGTCAGTGCCCATGCTGCTTCAAACTGAAACCAACAAATAAACAACAGAAGTGTCAGTAAAACAACCTCGATGTAGCAAGATATTTGCCATTAAATTTTGGCTATAACTCTTCAACTTCTACTAAGAAGGCTGTGAGATAAATAAAGCCTATCACCACAGAACACCTCAATACTCAAAGGAAAGGATTGTGTTTTCTTGGGCAATAAAAAATAGCATTTAGGAGATGTGGCTTCTCAGAGGCTACGGTTTCTCAAAGGATTCGCAAGTGAAGATATCATCATCAAACCACATAATTTCACCTAGACAACAATTTTCCAGCAAGAAAAGTGAAAACAGTCCCTAAATACACGTGGAGTATTTGTGGAGGACTAGCCAGTTCCAGCCCACCCTCTCATCTGGCTAATGCCACAAAGATGCCATGAGCTCAAGAGAAGCTGAGCAGCAAGTTCCATGCCTTTGCCACTCAGTTCTTCTTGAAAGTAAGCCCCTTCGATACATGGCCTTGGGCCAGAGGGCAGGAAGAAAGATGAAGGCAGTCATCAAGTCGGATCCAATTCCATGTATGGAAGTATCTTTAACCCCTGCAAAGTAACTCTAGTTATTACCAAGCTGGAAGGAATCTCAAGAAGCCACCTAAGTCCATCCCTCTGCCCCACGGCAGGATCACCACCACCTAACCCATTTCTAACAGACTCTTAGCCTGTACTTAATAGCCTCCAATAAAGGAGGTTTTTCCTCAATTTCTTTCTATGCATTTATTCCGTGGCTCCACTACATCCCAGCAGAACTGTCAGCCACAGGAAGGCCAAATTCTCTTCTGCTGCAGCTCAAATATGTTATTTTTGCCAGCATTCTTCCAAGAATTGGACTTAGAGCAATTTATAATTTCTTTTTTCTTTTGGCCTAAGCGTTACAGGCTGCCTTTGTCTTCTCTTACACACCACACAACCTGCACCTTTTGGGTTCAAGACATCACTGTTCCCCGATAGCACTTGTGGGTTCCCGTTGCCAAGCTGTGACAGTTAAACAGCTTCATGCCAGGAAGAATTCACAACGCGATCTCCTTTACCTGTAGTGTGCAATTTTCACTTCTTTTCAGGAATTCAACAAATCTGTCCACCACTCCCTGAGTGTTTATCACTTCATCTATTGGAGGATTTGGCTCTGAAACATCAAGGCAGAGTCAAAACAGTATGTAGGTAATGCAGGGGAACAACAAGCACGAGCTATTATTGAGCCGAGTATCTCAAGCTGTACTGAACTCGGCAGGACAACTCTCCATAATCACTTCTGTACAATTCAGACAACTGTTAATCATTAGCAACACACTAGATAAAGTTATAATTCAGAAATTTGATTATTTCCCCAAGCTCAAAGCTGCTAAGCTTCTCTACAGCAATACACGTACACAAATGCTTGCAGAAGAAAAGCTATGTCAGATCCTATGACAGGGATAAGGTGAATTATTTTTTACCTTTGGAGAGTAGCTTCCTGAATTTCTGAGTGGTTGCTAGCTGGAGATCGGGGTCATCGGAGAAAAGCATCTCTACCATCTCTCTTGTGATCACGCCCTCCTATAAAGGAGACAGAACAACAGTTCCATTTCACACTAACATTATTTTAGGACATCACAGGCATCACAGCTTGACTTTGTGTTTAGCTAGTAACCCAAAGATTCACAATTTAAGACTACAGCACGCTATTTAATTCCTGGCAGACTTTTCCAGTTCACTGTAGTAACATTCGCAACGTTCTCAGAAGTGAGAAAACAAAACCCATTGGGGTTTGCGAGTTCTATCCAGTCAACGGCATGAGATCTATCTGAAGGAGTAAGAATGAAAAGCATCTTACCCCACATGTTGTGGAACTAACATAGGAATCCACAAGGAGACTATCGAACATGGAGGCATCTTCATTGATCAGCTCCACATTTCTTCTTTTAAAGAGCTAAGAGGGAAAAGAACACAGGAGTCGTTATTAGAAAGCAATGACGAACAGTCTTCGTAACTAGATATTCCCGTTCCTCAAACACGATACCATCAGCCAGACCAAACGCAACCTGGATAGAACAGCAGTCATTAATAACAGCCCTGCACTCTGAAGACTCGTTTGGCTCCCAAATCCCAATAATAAAACATGCTAAGTCTTGCCCTCGGATATGCAAATGCCCAACTGAGACACTGGTACAGGCAAGTGCAGAATTTGACCTAACAAGCTGGGGAAACTGGGGAGAAGGCAGGTTGCAGATGATGCAGTAATGAAGCAAACATTTAGTCTGAGCCACACACATCACCAGGAATCACCTCTTACTTTCCTAGACCTGCAAGCCAAAAAAAACCCAGCTCAGAGTTAAGAAATACACACAGCTCATACTTTCACTCACTCTTCCTGCTTCGAGGAAATAGTCCCATTTTCTAATTAATAAAAGAACTCAAAAAAATCCCTTAAAACCAAGGATCTGTGAAAAAAAAACCTCTAGTACCCCAAGAAAAAAAGTGCTTGGAGAGCTCTTGATGCAAGCTCTGCTCTGTACCAGGTAAAAAAAAAAAAAGAGAAAAGCAAGATCTCAGTTAGAACAGGAAAAAAATAAGAGGACTGCTAACAAACCTTAATGCACAGATCCTTGAAGATTCCAGTTTGGCAGCAGCACAGTCCTGGCTGTGTTAAAGCTGTACACAAGCTAGTCAAGGTGACAGTTACCTGTTGCTCTCGTTTCTGTTTGCGCAGCTGAATTCCTTCCTCTTCTCTCCTCCGACGCATTTCCTCGGGATTTAGGGCTTTGTTCTTGTAACTCTTCATTCGATAGTTATCCTTCGCAGGACTCGCCATGGTTTCTGCAAAGAGAAAAAGATACCTGCCTTAGATTTGTCACTCTCCTTCCCACATGTCCTTTCTGACAAGGAAGTCAGAACACATGGAACAGCCAGATCAAACAGACTTATTTGCAAGCCTATTTGAGAGCTGGTCTCAAACACTGAAGTAGAAGCTTTAAGTTTGAATGTGATCCCAACCTTAGTTCATGGGATATGCTGAGAGCTTTACCAAGTTTCTAGGAAGCATAACAGTAGATTTACTGTTCTGAAAGGAGCTTGGACCCATCTTGATGGTATCGAGCACCCTACCCAGGTGAAAGGCTTCTACTCAAGCAGCTTCGCTGTCCTCAGGAGGTGCAGAACTAAATTCTGCTTTGCTTTTCAGCAGGAATTATTTCCCTTGTGTCACCCATCATGGATGACATACTGAAATCCATCCATCCATAAATCATACCTTGACAATTTTTTGCCCTCAGATTGGGATGTTCACTGTGCACACATGGCAAAAATCCAGCAGAACTCACAGCTAATCCAGGCCTTGATTTTGTAACGACAATAAATAAACCTTGAAAAAGCATAGGCCACGTTTGTCCCACCAGGTTACTGCAAGCGTTCAGTCCCTGACCTACTTATTTTGCTGCTTCATATCTGACTAATGCACTGATTCAAACTGGATTACTTGTGTATTTGCCTCCTGGTCAGGGAAGTGACACTCCACTATTTGGCACAGTTAAAGGCAATCAGGGCCAAGCAGTAACCTGAGGACAGAAGGGTATCAATTCCTCAGCTGCACCCAGCTGTAATCCTCAGCTTTGACCACGTCCACTCCTTTTTGCATCTTTTCAAACTCCCCCTTTCTCCCATTTATGATACAGATTATTTGTTCAACATCCCTGCCTTTCTCAGGACAGGAAGGAAGCAATCATCATACACAGCATCAGAATCCCAATTAACCCCGAGACCAGTTTACTCCTCTCCAGAAGTCTGCTGGACACCAGTATCTTTGTTTTCTTCCAAGAGCTGAGGGCAGGTGGAAGAAGAGTCCTGTGAAAGTCTGCAGCGCTATCTCCTTATCCCTCCTCTTTCAAGCTTTAAGGGCTCCTCACCACATCGCTCACAGAAAGTTTCAGTCCCACTTATCAACTGCCTCCAGCCAGCCTGGAGCCCTTCCAGGAGCAGCTGGAGAAGTTTCAGACCTTACTGCCCTCCTACTAAGAAAGACACAGCCAAGAAAAGACACATACAACGTACAAATATCCAACACTTCATAGCTATGGAAAGAGGAAACAACTAGAAGAATTCAGATTTTAACAGGAGAGGAAACAAAATACTTTCAGTTCTACGATTTCCCAAAAATAGCTAAAAAGACACCAAGCATTGTGAAAAAGTCAGACTCCATGTCACAGCATCTGCTCTCTAAAAGGGTGTTCTCTTTCCTACCCAAAACACCAAGAGGACTTTCTTCTGGAAAGCAATAGATAAAGAAAAAAGCCACCAAAGCCCAAGTTCCTCTGGTCATTTACACCGTAAGAGATACCCGTCTCTGGCAAACAGCCTGTCCCCATGCCCTCTGCAGTTGTGAAACAAAGACAAATTTATTACCTCCCTTTGGAAGGCAAACTCTCCAATTAAAAGGCAGTTCTTAAGAAAAGGAGGAGGAAAAAGTGATGAAATGACTTGACACTACAGGCAGGGTTACCAGGCAGTTACTCACATAAATAGCCAAGTGACACATGACAGTTCAGCTGCCTCCAGCCTTGCACAACCCCACGCAGCCGGGCACACCCCGGACCCTGCTCCGGGGGTCCAGAAAGAGCCAGAGACACTCAGCCACGCTGCGAGGGCCCAGACCACACTCTGGAGCATGAAGAACACCCCAAAGATACAACCAGCCCCTGAGGAGCCATTTTTCACGTTGTCTGTGTAACAACACAGCACTGTGCAACAGCCTCTGTGGCACTTAATTCTCCATTTTCACTCACACACATTTACCTCTTCAGACTATTTCCACTGGCATCAGCTGTGTCAATACTTTAATGACATCAGAATGCTAATTTCTTACATTACACCCCATTTCCATGGCAAGGGCTGAACATGACAAATGCAGGATTCTGACTTCACGGGGAGCTCAGGAGATGCTGGAGGTGGCACAGACTGCAGTGACCCCAAAGAAACCAGCCAGTGCCACACCAGGCACATCCCCAATTACTCACTCATAGGGGGTTTTTTTGGTACAAAACATCCAGCTCATCCAGTGTATCAGCCAGTCAGGCTTCATCGTTAACTGTTAACTCAAATTCTATCGGTGTGAACACCCACAAAATCAGAGCAGACTGTCAGCTTTGGGAAAGCCATCACCTGCTCATCCGTGAGTGATGAACAGGAGATACTCGAGCCACAGATTTTCACTTTGCATCTTAGGATTGCTGCTCTGAGAAGTTTCACTTTTACAGAAAAGCTCAACTGTAAAAGTGACAATGGAAAAACTTAAACACAGCAAGTCAAACTTCTCAGGAGTTTTAGCTACTGCACCCAAGCTGCCACCTTAGCCTCCACAAAATGCTGTCCTACTAGAGCTGCACCTTGCACTGCACCCCTCCTAGGAAAGGTTTTTCTTCTCCAAGAACCAGCTAAGCCCTTCCTTAAATGAAGATAGTATCAGCTCACACCCTAGAATTACAAAATTGTTCCGATGTTGCTCCAGCCAGAACTGCAGGGCTCCCAGTTTACCCCCAGCATCCTGCAGAAGATGGGCAATAAGGCTTTTTCCTACCAGACCCCAATTTGCACAGCCTGAAGCTGCTCCAGGTACCCCCCTTCCCCCCCCCGCCCCGAGACCACACCAAACAGACTCCACAGCAGATAAACTGTCCTGGCAGCGCCTGTAGCCTTGCTCACCACTTATCTCTCCCCAGAAGCCATCCCCTGGCACGACAGGTCCAGGTACCACTCACGGGATGGGGAAAGGCTACAGGCACCCGTGCTGGTACCAGTGCCTGGGGCACGGTGCTGTCAACCCATCTAACAACCTGCTGAAGAAAGAGGACAGGATCATCATCCACACATCCCAGTAGCAGACATTTGGACAGAATGGCCACACACCACAATCCCAGGATCGTCCCTTCACAACAGACATAAAATCCTTATTTTCTGCCCTAAAAGCTGCTCGGGCAACAAGCCAAGTGCAACCGTGCCCGCCCAGGTGCAGGCCCGTGTGGGAACAGGACTCAGGCAAGGGCTGGAGCTTGCCCTGTTCTACTAGAATATCAGCACAGCATGAGTATGTTGTTAGAAAAGAAAGGAAAACAACATGAATTAGGACAGAATTAGAATGAGGCACCTCCTCCCCCAGTGGAAACAGCAACGGAGCTTTTCCAAAAACAGCAAAAGCCAGTCCAGCTACTTATGGTTCAAGCCCTTCTTTATACTTCATTCCTGCCATCCCAGCCTCCTGCCGCAAGAGACAGCCTGGTTTTCTAGGAACCTGGTTTCCTCCAAGTCCAGCATCCCTTGGATTACCCCACAACAGTACAGTCCCCACCTTCTCCTTTTTCACCCGTCAATTAGAACTGGCCATGGGAAGTCCCTTGGAAGTACCCGTTTCCTCAGCCATTCCTGGCCACTGGGTACGGAGGGGCTCAGTCGCCCCCTTACCCTCTTCAGTCCAACTCACCTTCCCTGGGACAGAATTAAAAACTGTAAAAGCTTGCACTGTGTTAGAAAATTGAGTGTGCCGAGCTTTCAACCCTCCTCTTCCCAACACCTCCACAGACCAAACAGTTCCACACGTCTACAAGTTTTAATACTGGTTCCAAATATGAAGAACACTTGAGAATCTGCTGTTTCCACCAAAACCTCAGAGTTCACTCAAGAAAACCGTAAACTTCGACTCGCAAGACTGACCCCATTTAAAACAGAGTTGTGACCGAGTTTGGACAAAATATTACTTCTGCTCCAGGAATTCCCTGACCTCACACAGTTCCCAAAGTCAGTGCCTTTTCTAGCCAAGTACCTCCCTGCCTTAGTGAACTTTATTCACAGCAGCTCCACAGAAAAAAAGAAGTGACAGTATTTGCATTTCAATAGTTCTCTTATTGAGCATCCAAGCTCTGCACCTCCAATCAGCTCCGCCAACTATCAGCTCCAAGATGCCAAATCAGATATTAAATTCAGTGCTAACATGACACATTAAGTAGATCTAAGGATTATCAGCCTGCATATATAAAGATTTATTTCTACATCCTGAACACATAACAGCAGGTAACCCTGGCTCTGCAGGACGAATTTTGAAATCCATTTGTACATGTTTGATGACTTGCTTTAATAAAGCACAGCCACATACAGCTTTGTGCAGGCACCTCAGAGACCGGGCAGATGGAAGCCTCACTAAAAACCGGAACCCTTGCTAGTCCAAAACTCACACAAGAAGCCCACATGAAACTAACCGACTTCTCCATTATTCTTCCTTAGTCTCCCCAGAGAGAAAAATTGCCGAAGTGGGATTTTAAAGCCACTGTGAGATTGTGATCATATAACACATCTTCAGCATAAACACTAAAGAGTCCCCATGCCAACAATTTCTGGATGCTCACACCTTTGGAATCAAACTATTAATAAAAAATGGTCCATTAAACCCAAAGCAAGGCTTTATTAAGCTAATAATTCACACTGGGAATGACTTCAGGTGTTCTGTGAGCCGAGAATCCTCTTACAAGAGCTACAGGAGCAAACTTGGGGATGAAGCTTAACCAAACACCACCTTCTCAATTCTTTGTGCAAAGGAAACCCCCTCGGGAGATGGAAGAAGTTTGGCTCCTGCTGTAGCAAGTTGGCAACTTTTGGCTTTGCTGAGGAAATAAAAAAATCCTCCAGTTGTCACATAAACCAAAGAATTATTAGTACAGGTTGCCACATTCATCCTTACCTATTGAATGACGAGAAGGTATTTACTGCTTAAAAGAAAGGAAAAAACAGCCTGAAAGTTTGAAGGCTCAGGAGAGGATTCAGATCCCATAAGCATC